GGAAATGGGAATGAAACAAGAATAACGGGAGTAGATATCCGGATAATTCAAGAAAGTCTGGCTACCTAGTCCCCCCCTCCCCCCTCCCCCCCGTACAACTATTCCTGAGAGGGGAGACAGTGCTCGGGAAGAGGGGAGAGGGGTGAGGGGAGAGGGGAGGAGGGGAGAAGGGAGAGGGGTGGCGGAGGCTGCCGCCGCGCGTTCGATCAAAATCCCTCTGCTCTCTCTCTCTCTCTCTCTCTCTCTCTCTCTCTCTCTCTCTCTCTCTCTCTCTCTCTCTCTCTCTCTCTCTCTCTCTCTCTCTCTCTCTCTCTCTCTCTCTCTTTCCTTAAAAAGCGTGCGTGATTATGTATGTATTTATGTATTTTTTATGTATCTATGCATGTATGTATATGTGTATGTATGTCTGTAAGTATGTTTATGTATGTATGTATATGTGTGCAGATCCATATGTATATAAGCATAAATATATGTATAATGTATATACTGTATGTATATATACACACTGCAATACAGTGTGCACACACACCACACACACACACACACACACACACACACACACACACACACACACACACACAGTACCAGCGTAGATATATATCAATATGTATGTATGTATGCATATGTATATATACACACACACGTCTCTCTCACCCTCTGCCCCCCCCCTCTTTGTCTTTCTCCCCTCCTCCTCCTCCTCCCTAGCCCTTCCCTTCCTCCTCACACTCCCTACCCAACCCTCCTCCTCTCCTCCTTACCCTTCCTACCTAACAACTCCTCCTCCTCTCTCTCCTCCTCCTCTACTCCCTTCCCTCTCTCCTTCCTCCCCCCCCTTATCCCTCCTCCCTTCCCCTCTTCTCCTCTCTCCTCCTTCATCCCATCCTCCTCCTCTCCCCCTTATCCCTTCCTCCTCCTCCTCCTTCCCCTTACCCTCCCCCTCCTCCTCCTCTTCTCCTTAACCTCCCCCTCCCTCCTTCCTACCCTTCCTCCTCCTCCTCCCTCCTCCCCTTCCTTACCCCTCCTCCCCTACCCCCCTCCTCCGTCTCACCCCGACGTAGACTCGCGGGAAATCGCCCGGTTTCCCCTTGATTTAATATCGCCCTTGTATTTTGCCGAGGCTAAGTAAGGGAATTCGGGCATTTTGGGCGGCCTCGCGGGCGTGTGCGGCCTCGTTCGTCCATCGATCTCGTCCCGTGGATGTCGTTAGGCCGTCCTACGCTCGTGTGTACCCATCTGTCTGTCTGTCTGTCTGTCTGTCTGTCTGTCCGTCTGTCAGCATTGATTGAGACCTTTTTTTTTGACGAGCGAGGGAGGGGTAGAGGGAGAGGGAGATGGAGAGGTAGAGGGAGAGAGGAGGGGAGAGGGAGAGGGAGGGAGGGAGGGAGGGAGGGAGGGAGGGAGGGGAGGGAGAGAGAGAGAGAGAGAGAGAGAGAGAGAGAGAGAGAGAGAGAGAGAGAGAGAGAGAGAGAGAGAGAGAGAGAGAGAGAGAGAGAGAGAGAGAGAGAGAGAAGAAGAAAGAGAGAAAGAAGGAAAGAAAGAAAGAGAGAGTATGCACGTCCTGTATGCATATATGTCAATAAATATACAAATGATTAAATAAAAATGTATGAGAGGAAGTGTGAGCGTATGTATGTGCGTGTGTCTGTTAAGTAAACCGATAAACACACAACAGAAACGACAGAATGTTGTCAACGTCGAACCACTGTCTTCCATAAAAAGGAAAAAAAAAAATATAACAAATGAAAACTGTTGTCCTCGAACTCGTTTCGGGGGGGGGGGAGGGAGGGAAGTGTGCTTCTTGCGTGCTTGCGTGTATTTGTGTGCTTTTGTTTTTCCTAAGTTCGTTTTGGTTGGTTAAAGTGCGTTTATTTTATTTTTTTTTATTTTTTTGGTTTGTTTGTGTGCGCGTCCGAAACCGTGAGCTTGTGTACTTGTGATGATAATAATACGCGTTGTTTACTAATTTTGCATTACTGTAAAGATAAGTGTTGTACAGCGTATGTGGCGCCCCACCTCTCTGACACCAATTAATATCAAATATCACGCAAGTAGATCCTCATTGCCTACGTAGAGATCTATCATGGCGAAGAAATTGATCATCTTAGCCCTCATTACTATGGCAACTGTTACCAAAAGAAAGTCGCATCTGAAACAACTCCGTAATTATCGACTTTCCACGGGTTTATATAACGAATGTCCAGGAAACGCGTGGAGGAAAGTAATAAAGTAAAATGGCAGTGTTTGATCGTTGGCATTTTTATTGACCACTCATTTGCCCGCCCTTTATTAACCTCATCGGGATCACGCGTCTCGACTCGCGCGCTGGCTCCGACTTCGAGCGCCTTCCCTCCTCGATCGCGCTTAATCCGAACGACAGCTGACGTCATTCGAAACCATATTGACGCATTTCGACATCATTACTTCACATCCCAACATTTCGCCATAAGAACACGGAAACACCACAACACCTTTACTAAATAAACCAAATTATCGAGACAAACTCAAAGCCGAAGTCAGAGTTAAGCGAAAGAGACTGTTGGTCGAGAGTATACAATAAGGTGACACAGTGCCAGAGAGGCAGGGAGAAGGGGGAGGGAGGGGGAGGGGGGAGGGGGGAGGCAGGGAGAGGGAGAGGGGACGGGGGAGGAGGGAGGGAGGGAGGGAAGGGAGGGGAGAGGATACACGCTCGAGGCCAGTATTAAGGGTGGGAGGGAAGGATAACTGGAGATGGACGAACAGATGGATGGATAGACAGGGAGGAGGGGAGGGGGATGGAGGGAGGGGGGGAGGGGAAGGGGGGAGAGGGATAGGGAGAAAGGGAGAGAAATAGAGAAAGAAACAAAGAGAAAGCGAGAGTGAAAAAAGAGAGCGAGATAGAGAGAGATAGAAGAGAGAGAGAGAGAGAGAGAGAGAGAGAGAGAGAGAGAGAGAGAGAGAGAGAGAGAGAGAGAGAGAGAGAGAGAGAGAGAGAGAGAGAGAGAGAGAGAGCGAGAGAAAAAGAAAAAGAGAGAGAGCGAGAGTTCAAGTGAGAGAGAGAGAGAAAGAGCAAGCGAGAGAGCGAGAACGAAGGCGAGAGAAAAGGGAAGACCGGAAACGAACATGCATTAGGGTGAACGATGTTGCAAGTGATGACGTCACATTTCACCGATAATGGCGTCGTTCAAAAGTTTGGCCACACTGCGCGCGGGTAAACAACTGCTAAACTCCCTTGAATTAAAACTAGTGTAGCGGACTCTTGTGCCTCCGGTAATTAAACGGATACCGATTCCTTGAGACACGAAGCCCATGGTAACTAAAACGATAATCGTGATTGTGACTGGTATTAATGGAATATATAAAAAAGAGGTTTGCGATATGTAAAAAAAATAAAGGAATAAAGTTGGAAGTTGGCATCGCACGCATACGCAGACCCACATGCATCAGACACTTATCTATATTCATCTACTTATCTAATTATCAATCTATCTGATTATCTATCTCTTCTTTCTTATATAGATTATCTCTCTCTATCTGCCTCCATCCCATACAAAACCCACCACGCGTTGCTTCATAACCGAATCCGAAACGCCGAGTGAAGCAGCGAACGAACCGGCGCCGTTTCACCCGAAGCACCGAATCCGAAACGCCGAGTGAAGCAGCGAACGAACCGGCGCCGTTTCACCCGAAGCACCGAACCCTCTCACAGGCCTCCCTCCTCCCTCCTCCTCCCGCCACAACTGATTCAATGGAAATTTCAAAGGCTTTTCTCCCGCAAGTGAGAAACTAGCATCAGGGTGAAAAGGGTCCTCTTGACTTGCAGGAAGTTTGGCGGTTGGAGAACCTTATGAGATCAGAACTCTCCGGGGAAGTTACCTTCTTCCCTGATACTATAATTAATCTAATGTTATCTGTACAGAAAAGTTGAGGTCTGTGTAAAGAGGGGGTGGGATGGGGGGGGTATGCAGGGAGGGGGGATTTGTTTGCGTAGGGGGTGGATGTGTGTGGTTGTGTGTGTGGTTGTGTGGGGGTGGTTGTGTGTGGGGGTGGTTGTGTGTGGGGGTGGTTGTGTGTGTGGTTGTGTGTGGGGGTGGTTGTGTGTGTGGTGGTGTGTGTGTGTGTGTGTGTGTGTGTGTGGTTGTGTGTGTGTGTGTGTGTGTGTGTGTGTGTGTGTGTGTGTGTGTGTGTGTGTGTGTGTGTGTGTGTGTGTGTGTGTGTGTGTGTGTGTGTGTGTGTGTGTGTGTGTGTGTGTGGTGCGTGGTTGCGACTGTCCACGAACATAAATGTAACTCAGACTTGCTCCGAGAAACTGTTCTTACCGCCGAGAAATGATCGTGGTTCTCGTGGTTCACAGAACTCCCATCCTCTCTGTCTTCTCACTTCCTCACCCTCCTCTTTTTTCCTTCCCGTCTCCCTCCTCCTCCTGCCCCCCTTAGCCTCCCTCCCTTCCCTTCCTCCCACCCGTCCCCTACCTCCCTTCCTCTCCTCTCTCCTCCCCCCACCCTACTCCCCCTCGCCCGCCTTGCCTTCCCCGGCAAGTGGGCAAGTTTCCCCTTAACCGGTGCTCCCTCATCCCCTGAGTGGAACTTTCCCCCACAAACTACTTCTATTTCTCCGGATACCAAAGGGATTTTTCCCTCTCCCTTCCCCCTCCCTTCGCCGCCCGCGCAGAGAGGCAGAACTGGGCCTAAATGTGTCTATTTTACCTCCAGAGCGAGGTCCTTGTCTTGCCCGACCGCCACCTTTACATACAAGTGAGAAGGATTTTCATATAATTTATTTTTATCTGCTTGTTTGTTTGTTTGTTTGTTCGCCTGGAGGATTGGGGGTGTTTCTGATTTAGGTTAAGCTTTTGATTTTGCTTTTTTTTTTTTGTGTTCGTGGTTGCGACTTGGTATTATTTGTGAAAAGTAACATACGTACATAAAATAATAGTATACTACAAGCTTGCAGACACACACACACACACACACACACACACACACACACACACACACACACACACGCACACAAATGGCACTGACCTGTCCGTTGTACTGGCCCTGCATGTCGGGTCGCTCCGGGCGCAGGGCGACGGCGGTGGCGGTGGCGGTGGCCGTCGCCGCCGCTACCATCGCCGCCGTGTTGAGGGCGGCGTTCGACGTGCCGTACTGTCCGGAGGCGTCTCCCGAGCCGCCCATCTGGCCGCCCATGGTCCCGGGGCCGCCCATGGCTCCAGGCCCGCTCATGCTGTTCCCGCCGCTCATGGTGGGACCTGGACTGTTGTCGAAGCCACTGCCGAGCAGAAGGAGAGACATGAACGCTCCGCTACGCCGCGGGCCGCGCGGGCTCCGCTGCTGGGGTGTTGTGGGTGTATGCATGTGTGTGTGTGGGGGCGTGTGTGTGGGCGTGTTTATGTGTGGGCGTGTGTGTGTGTGTGTGTGTGTGTGTGGGCGTGTGTCTGTATGTGTGTGTGTGTGTGTGTGTGTGTGTGTGTGTGTGTGTGTGTGTGTGTGTGTGTGTGTGTGTGTGTGTGTGTGTGTGTGTGTGTGTGCGCGTGCGCGCGCGCGTGTGTCTGTCTGTGTTTGTCTACACACGCGTACGTTAGTTGGCGTGTATGTCTCCAGTATAGGTGTACATGTGCCTGTCTGCAAGCGCATGTCTCCGTGTACATGCAGCGTGCGTGTACACAGTCGCTCCTATATAAATAACTCCAAGAAAGTTTCTTATCTACAAGACGTCCGCTGTGATCCTCAAACAGGGCTTGCTCGCCTTGGCGATGTCAATCGTGAGATACCGGCCGCTCGATATACATTGATAAGCAGAAACAGACGGAGGGAGGAGGGGTAGGAGAGGAGGCAGAGAGGGAGAAACAGAACAGAAACAGAAAGAGAGAGGGATGGAGGAGAGAGGGTGGAAAGTAAATGGGGAAAGGGACTGATAAACAGGGATGGGAGATGGATGGGGTGATGAATGGGGGAGAAGGGAGAGGGAGAAGGAGGAGAGGAGGAGGAGGAGGAGGAGGGGAGGAGGAGGAGGAGGAGGAGAAGAGGAGGAGGAGGAGGAGGAGAAGAGAGAGAGAGAGAGAGAGAGAGAGAGAGAGAGAGAGAGAGAGAGAGAGAGAGAGAGAGAGAGAGAGAGAGAGAGAGAGAGAGAGAGAGAGAGAGAGAGTGAGAAGAAGAATACAAAATGAAGAGAAAAGCAATAACATTTAACTGCCCGATACTTGAGGATCACTCGCGGACACACACTATCAATAAAGGAACAACAATCGTAAAAAACAAACAAACAAATCACACACAGGTTATATATCCAACAACAAATATATACACATGAAATGATTGAGAGAGAGAGAAAAAAAAGATGAAATGCAATGAAATATCAATATATTCAGGTTAGTATATGCACCAGAACTAAAAAAACAAAGATCAACTAAGCGTCAACAACAATGAAACAGTCGCATACCCGCTTCCGTTGTTGCCTTCAAACGGCTTTTGATCGACAGAACTTTGGCTAGAATCCCACCATCTTGAGGGCGCAGAGCGGAGGGAAAACGGAACAAAAAAACGAAAAAAAGAAATGTGTGAATACAATGACTTGATGGGAAAAATGGTTAGATATATTATTATTTAAAAAAAAGAGAGAGAGGAAGGGGTGAGGGTGGGGATGGGGGGGGGGGGGGGACCTAAGAAAAGGCGGGAAAATTAAATTGGGGAAATATATGCGTCTCTTTATGAAAGACACGTGGGGGGAAATATAAGGTGTGTTAGGGGGAGAATGATAATTCATTTGTCAGGTTAAATCGAATAATATTCGATCTTTGACTGCAAAATGAAAGTCGCCATTCGTTAAAATGAGGTTAACTTTATTTCCCTTCCAAACAGACCACCTCGGCTCCCTATAGTTGGCCTTACAAACTCTCCCCAATGCTGGCAACATTTCTCGAATACTTTTTTCCTTTCCTTTCCTCTTTTTCTCTAAGATCTCTAAATATTATCATCAGTTGCCTCTCCGCCGTTCCTTTCATCTAGGCGTACGTTCCAAAGGATCATCCTTAGAAGGAATAGAGTCCCTGTCCTGAACGTACTGAGGTTAGGCACGGCGAGGTCAACCTTACGGCGATCTCAGAAAAAGGGGTTTTAGAAGATGTTTCCAGCAGGGGGGGGGGGTGGGGGGAGGGAGCGTGTGTGTAGAGAGCCTTAAACCTCTTTAAAAGGGTATTAAAGTTTCCTCAATTTAACTAGGAACGGGTTTTCATTTTGTAGCTAAAGGTCGGTTTCTTTTTGATCTGACCTTGTATAAAAATTTGGTGAAAGGACCACAATTCTTGGGGGGGAAATTGGGTATTTAAATCAAAATGTATAGACAACACAATGATAATAATCATGAGAGTACAGGAAAAAATAATTATTTGAAGAAAAGAAACAAGAATGTTGAGGATGATGTAAATTGAATATAAAAGACTTTTTTCTTTCAAAACTTTGATGAGAATGTATATGCAAGTATGAAAATGACTAATTCGATAATGTAATGTCAGAAGGACAATGGATCTACTTACTTCTAATAATGAGAATAAATCTAGTCATTTCAAAAATGCTGTGACACAAACACACAATAATCCACAGCCATTCTTACATCCAAGACCAAGATGGCATGGCTTGTAATCATAAAAAAAAACTCAAAAGTGATAAAAAAGGTAAAGAAAAGTGCACCAAATTTATGTAATCATCGAAGGAAAGTTTCCCATTTTCTCTTCCTCTCGACAACCCCCACCGAAAAAAAAGAAAACGAGAGAAAAGTTAGTTAAAGAAAACGGACTTCTTCACTCACCCATTTGGCTTGGAGGGGTAGTTGACCATATTGGAGAAGGGTTTATTATGCGGATTGAAGGGTTGTGCTGGCATGTTTGGGTTGCAGGGCGTGTTGCTGCTGCAATTTGGTGTCGTGGGTGTAGGCGTACTCTGGGTTGTGCTCGAAGTGACTCCCCAGACGGTGGTGACAACAGAAACTGCTCCTCCAGCGATACCACGACCACCCACCCACTCGCTGTTGATGGAGAGAGGGAGAGAGAGAGAGAAAAGCTGTTAGCGAGATTGGATATTTGGTCGCCATATTATCTGACTCGAAGTTCACTGCTAGGCGGATGGCGTGACGGGGGTGACTGGATGAACGGCTGCTGAGGTGGATGAAGGGATGGGGGGGGGGGGGGGGGTAATGCTTGTGACTTTTGGTGAACGTAAGTAAATTAATATTAGTAATAATCGTTGATTTTGCGAACATTTGGTGAATATAAAGAAAATACTACTTATACTATAATGCTTGCGATGAACGTAAAGTAAATTAATATTAGTAATAATCATTGATCTTGCGAACATTTGGTCAATATAAAGAAAATACTAATATAATGCCTGCGACCTTTGGTGAACATAAAGTAAATTAATATTAGTAATAATAATCTTGCGAACATTTGGTGAATATAAAGAAGACCTTTGGTGAACTAGGAAACACAAATCGGATTTTGGTGAAACCTGGTGAACGTAAAGTAAATTAATATTAGTAATAATCATTGATCTTGCGAACTTTGGTGAATATAAAGAAAATACTACTTATAATATAATGCTTGCGACCTTTGGTGAACGTAAAGTAAATTAATATTAGTAATAATCATTGATCTTGCGAACATTTGGTGAATATAAAGAAAATACTACTTAATTAAAATTAAAGTAAATTAATATTAGTAATAATCCTTAATCTTATATACTTTGGTGAATATAAAGAAAATACTATTAATAATAATCCTTAACCTACCGTTTCCCTGTAAGAATCAGACCAAATACAAAACAGACAGACAAAAAAAAAAAATAACCGTTTAGCAGCGCATCCATTAGATCGTAAATCTGCAAGCGAGCGTCTTAACGTAACTGTACCCGTTTCATAACATTCGGCGCCTCTTACTCGTGAGGTTTAATCACGGAGACACAGCATCTTGACGGTGACTGAAAACCACAAAAAAACTCGAACTTTCTAAGGTTCTTGAGCCATCGCTGCTCCCCCCCCCCACCCCCCACCCCTCTCTCCCCCCACCCCCCACGCGTCGTGGCTCCACCCGCGCAACGATTTTACACCCCTTCACTTTCTTTCCTCTGTTCGTGTCTACACCGTTATCACATTTCTTCTTATTATCTTCCCTCCTTTTTTTTTTTCTCTTTCCACCTCTTGAAACATTCGCTCCGCACGCTCCCCTCCCCCCCCCCCCCCTCTCCCTCCTTTACCTCGGGTTAGCATCCTCCACCTGTCTAAATTTCCAGGCTTTCCTCCTAAACCCTCTCCCCTCCTCCCAACCCCTCCCCTCACTCGCCTCACCCAACCTCTCTCCTCTTCTACCCCTCCTTCTTCCATCCCCAACCATCCTTCCCAGCTCCCTCCCTCCTCACACACCACCCCTTCTCCACCTATAACTTCACCCTCCCCTCCCCCCGCCCCCGACCCCCTCCTCTACACCCTTCCTACATCCCCCCTCTCCTCCTGCTCCTCCACCACTCAACTCCCTTACTCGTTCAACCCTCCTGCTCCCCTCCCTCGCACCCCCTCTGATGGCTAGCCCAGACACCGTCAACAGACACATGCTGAGGGAAGACAAGAGAGAGTGAGGAGGAGGAGGAGGAGGAGGAGGAGGAGGGAGGAGGGATCGAGGGGAGACGGAGAGAGAGGGAGAGAGGGAGAGAGAGAGGCGGCGAGAATGGAGAGAGGGAAGGAGAGAGGGGAGACGGAGAGAGAGGAAGAGAGGGAGAGGAGAGGCGGTGAGAATGGAAGAGGGAATGAGAGAGGGGGGAGAGGGAGAGAGAGAGAGAGGGGAGACGGAGAGAGAGGAGAGAGAGGAGAGAGAGAGAGACGACGATAAGGGAAAGTTGGGAGGGAGAAGGGAAGAAAGGAGGGAGGGAGAGAGGGAGAAAAGCAACGAAAGAGGGAAAAGGAAGGAAACAAGGAATAGGCTGAGCAAGATGCAAAGAAGCAGGAAGAGGAGAGAGAGAGAGAGAGAGAGAGAGAGAGAGAGAGAGAGAGAGAGAGAGAGAGAGAGAGAGAGAGAGAGAGAGAGAGAGAGAGAGAGAGAGAAGCTAAAAGGGGCAAGAAAGAGAGGGAAAAGAAGGTAAAAGAAAAGCTAAAAAAGAGAGACTAAGGAAAAATAGCGAGATACGTCAGGTCAAAGTGGAAGGAAAGAGGGAGAGGAAGCAGGAAAGAATTATGGAGGAAGGAGGGAGGGAAAATGGGAAGGGAAAGGGAAAGGAAAGAGTCAGAGAGAGAGAGAGAGAGAGAGAGAGAGAGAGAGAGAGAGAGAGAGAGAGAGAGAGAGAGAGAGAGAGAGAGAGAGAAGAGAGAGAGAGTCAATGAAGGGAGGCAAGGAGGGCGGGAGGGGACTAGGGGGGTGAAGGGGGGGGGGGAACACAAATAAAGAAGACGCGAGTTTCACATCCTGCGAGAAACTTTTTTTTTTCTCTCTCTCTTCTTTACTTTTTCTTCTTGTCGTCTTTTCTATTCCTCCTCTCCTCCCCCCCCCCCCCTCTTGCAAGTGGGTCTTGGGAAGGTGAGCTGGTTGGAAAGGGGGGGGGGGGGGGCAATGGGGGGATGGGGGAGGGGAGGGAGGGAAGAAGGGGGCGTGTCTTATAGGCCTATCTCCTAAGATTCTTTTGTCTTGTCTTTTCTTAATTTTTTTTCCCCCAAAACATTTTTCCTTTTTTCTTTTAAATCTTTCTCAATGGAAGAATGGGTGAAGAGAAGATGGAGAAATGAGGAAGAAGGGAGGGAGGGAAGAAACGAAGAAAGGAAAGAAAGAAAGGAATAAAGGGGAGGAAACAAAAAACGGAAATAAAGAATAAGAGAAAAAAGCGGAAAGGAATAAAGTAAACAGAGAAGAGATAAGAATTAAGATGAAGCTTAGACTGAAAGAAAATAAAATGAGAGGTGAAAAACAGAGAAAAATGTAAGAAATGATAAGAAAGAGGAAAAGAAAAAAGAAGAAAAAAGACAAGAGGGGAAAAAAAGGTTAATAAAGGACGAAGCCAAAGGGAGAAAACCAAAGAACGAAATAAAGAAAATTAGGAAGAACGAACGATAAAGAGAAGAAAAGAAGTAAAAACAAACGATAAAGAAAAGAAAAACGAACAATAAAGAAAAGGAAAGAAAAGAAGGAATAACCAACGATAAAAGGAAAGGAAAGAAGGAAGGACCGAGAGAGCAGACGCGTGACTAACGGGGGTACGAGGAGGGGGGGGGGGAGGGGAGGGGGAGAAGGGAGGAGGAGGGGGGAGGGGGCGACTGTTGACCGCAAAAGTATCGCTGACGCAGGAACAAAGGGTAACCTCCGAGGAAGAAGAGGAATGGGAAGGAGGGAGAGGAAGAAGAAGGTGAAGGAGATAATGAGGGGAGGAGAAAGAAGGGGAGAAGAAGAAGAAGAAGGAGAAAGGAGATGATGATGAGGAGGATGAAGGAGAGTAAAAGAAAAAGGAAGGAGATGAGGTGGAGGATGAAGGGGAAGAGGAAGAAGAAGAAGAGAAGAAAAGAAGGAAGAAGATGACGATGGAGAAGAAGAGAAGAAGAAAGGAAGAAATGACGAGAAGAAGAGGAAGAAGAAGACGGCGAAGAACGGAGAAGACGGCGAAGAAGAGGAAAGAGAAGAAAGAGGAAGATGACGATGACGAAGAGGAAGTGGAATAAGACGACATCGACAACGAAGATATTAAAAAAAAAAAAGAGAAACAGAAGATGAAATAGAAGGAGAGAAAAAATACAGAAAAAACGGTAAGAATGAGAACGACACGAGAAGAAACATAATATGTTAAAGAGGCAAAGCGTTTGTAATAAAAGAAAAGACAATGGGAAGAAGAGACAGCAACAGAGGGCGATAAATGATAAGGAGAGATAAAACAGAGAACAAGAACCCATAAGGAGCAAATGGAGGAGAGAGAGAGAGAGAGAGAGAGAGAGAGAGAGAGAGAGGAGAGAGAGAGAGAGAGAGAGAGAGAGAGAGAGAGAGAGAGAGAGAGAGAGAGAGACCAAGAACATGACACAGAAGCGAAACAAAACAATCGAGGAAGGAATAATAAAAATAATAATAACAACAACAATAGTAACAATAATAACAGTAATTAACAATAACAACAATAACAGTAATTAGCAATTACAATAATTAACAATAATAATAAAACGTGCAAGTGCCGCTTCTATTATCATCTTAAACCGAAGTCGATCGATGACGCAAGGATTCGCACACTCCGCGCGTTCGAAACCTCGGGCTTGACTTCGGACTCGGGTTGGGCTTAAGCCTTACTTACGGGAAGGGGGGGGGAGGGGGGAGGTAATATTCATGAAAGGGAAATATGGCGTGAAATATAGTGCCAGATTGTGTATGGGAATATCGATTTGTCTATCGGGAAATGTTCACATGTTCATAGATCCAGACAAACACACGCATGCGGACACAAAACACCCGCGGAGCCAAACACACAAATAAACAGACAGACATGTGCCGTGTGGAGATGAAATATCACTGGCAAATAAAATTTAACAAGAATGAGTTGGCTTTCTGTTATAGATTTTGAAATCTGAATATTTCCATATAATTAAGCCCAAATTGTGTGTTGGGAAGGGGGTGCGAGCGTGTGTGTGATATAAGCACACACACCACACACACACACACACACACACACACACACACACACACACCACACACACACACACACACACACCACAACACCTAATATACAGTTTACACACACATACACATACAGTTTACATGCACCAATACATACACATACACACACATCCAATATACAGTTTACATGCCAATACACTTACACATACACACACATCCTAATATACAATTTACACTTACACATACACACACATCCCAATATACAGTTTACATGCACACATACACTTACACATACACACACATCCCAATATACAGCTTACATGCACACATACACACACATACACACACACCTTACACCAATACACACATCCCAATACAGTTTACATACACAATACAC